AGGCGTTATGTTGAAAAGCAATATCTTGTATAGTAGTTAGTATATTGGGAAGGAGGGGCACAGTTGCAAAATAAACACACAAGTTTATGCATATTTTTGATTAACATTCCAAGACGCAAAGACATGATCATTACTCATTTTATTCAAATGTAAATGGTTATGAAATGGTATGGGTTATTGATATATGAAGCATCAAGCCGAAGAAAAGACGAGTGCGGATACTAAAAGAGTGTCGAAAATTTAAAGTTAAAAACGGTATTGATAGATTAGATGGGGATATATTACTAAATAAAAGGTAGATATAGCTCATACAGAATGTGTTGATACAATACAAATATGTATATAGACAGCTAGAGCGTGATCATCGATAAATTATAAGTATTTATATCGTATATGCCTGTCTAGCCAGTCCTCGTTGAGAATGACGTCGCCAATGTTTACAGCACTTTACGGCACGCCTGTATACTGCTGATACTTGTGACGCATTCAGCACCAAACACCTCGTAAGCTTAATCCAGAACGCACTGCCACATCTTCTGGACTTTTTCGAATCCAACAGGTTTTGTTCAGGTCTCAGCAACATCATCCACTCCCTCCTGCTTACACATCATCTCAATCAATGCAGCCTTTGCGGATATTAATACTACAGCATTGGCTCATCATATTGGTCTAGACAGCTTTAGTTATAATGTATACTCACCAGATTTCTGCTTAGTTTTCAGGCAGTCTTTTTCTTTGACAACAATACTGACGGCGGCGTCATGCCATTTTAGTCTCGGAATACCGCCACAATCGCGTCCGCATCACACTTGAACCACGTTGCCAACTCTGCACTTTCCTTCTTCTGCATATTGCTCAGCTCTCTTGGTAGCACGTAGGATTTCAATGTTTTAATTGAATTCATATTAAATGAATGTTGTGATTAATACTTTGCTAGAGATCACGTAGTACATGTTGAATTCGTCCGCAACGCGAGTCACACAAAGAACCATTTGTCGTATTTTATGCAACAAACTGCTCAGAACTATATAAGTAGGTTCTCTCAAATAACTTCGGTCAGTAGTTCTTTTTCACACTCTTTTTTCCCATTAAATAAAGAATGTCATAGTTTTACCTTTCTTCTTTTTGTTTAATACGACGCGTCACTACGCTGTTAGCAGATGCTGCTATCACTGTCATTAGATCTGAAGTAGGTGTGTACGCTTAGTTGTGAACGTACCAATCGCACTGACAACGATTTACTTTTCGCTTCTTCACTTACGTGAGTAGCTGAGAAGTACAAGCACTTTACAGGGTGGGATATAGCTCACTAGATACTTCGTTACTCTCAAAAGGATAAATGAAGTATCTTTTCGATATGCTGGCGCTTGTTAAACACATACCACGTAAGTCTTAATGCTTTTATAGTATCTGTGATGTTCAACAACAGGAAGGGACTAGAAGCATTTGAGATTGCTGTTTAATTCTACAAGAATGAATGGTCTATCCTTCACTTGTTTTCTACAGCTATTTATACGCGACTAGTGTCTGTGACGATGAAAAGAAAAACCAGATAAATGATAGATCCGTTCAGCAATCTGATCAGTACATCTTGACACTGGTTTCTGAAAGAAACCTGTAAGTCAGTCACGACAGAATCATATCCTTTAGTTGAGGTCTTCATTAATAACAATATATGCATTATATCAACTTTTTTTTAGTGCTGATAAAACGGGCAACTATTCTTGAACGTGCATTGTCGCATACAATCAATCAATAGTTCCTCGTTCGATTTCCCGGATTCTGGCGGAGGAGGTCTGTACGTAATTTATATGATCATACTATTACATATTCTCCTCCGCAGCCTCTTACTTTCCTGTGGATCTTTCTGACTCCTTGGGGACGCGAGAAGTAAGTGACGACACTAGATACTTTGTGTAACAAGCATATGAAAAATGATTTGGCAAAAGAAGTAAAGAAAGCTAATTGAGAAAAAAACTTAGTACGAGAGCATGAATTCCCTTAGTTCATGTGCTGCTAGCTGTGTCGGGGCGTGCGAAACAGGTACAACAACAACTACATTCTTTGCACATACATTCGAGCAAATATTATCAAGCACAGTTCTTATATAGTACTGTTACCCCGAGAACCACCCATAACAAATAAACCAAACATACAAAAGAACCACACACCAAGCGGCAATCAGAATACAATACATAACTACCGCAGCAACCGCAGCAACTCTACAACTCTTTTGCACCCCCAAATTATCAAAAGGAACAACTATAAATAGAACGAACCCTTTACCCTGTAAAGATTCGATGAACAGCTTGTTGAATAAGAGCATTACCGCAGCATCCGCAGTAACAACAACTACCGCAGCATGAATTATCTTAGACATTAGTTACCTCCCACTTTTGACTTAACTTTTTAAGTGTTGTTTTCAATCACTCAAGACCTAAACACGGCTTGTTTTATCTTACATATTGTTTATTGCTCATAACTGAAGCTAAATAAACTCTTCTATTAAGACCAGACGTAACATTCCTGCTCTTATTTCTCATTTACTTGGACAGACGTAGCATTCCTGATCCTTATTCTTCATTCATTTTGGACAGACGTAACATCCCTGATCCTCATCTCTACTCACTGAGCTTAATCAAGACATCAGCTCACTACCGTTTACACCCTTGGACATAAACCATACACATTTTTACTTTACTTTACACTCATATCACTTCACAACCCGTCTGTAATAAACGATATTATTACTGGTGCTCACTACAAAACATACACTTAAACCGTTACGCAACTACCTGGAATACCCCAAATTCACCGTAACAGTACCATTCAATAATTCTCTTTTCTTAATTATAAAATAGGCAGCGTCCCTGCAGTGGAGAAGGCGTTGATTTACAAAGAGTCATTGATGAGCTGGAGCCGATAATAATTAGTACTTGTTCACCTGACATGCTGGACTGTGATGTAAAGTCTTCATGGTTACAATGTATTTATATGTACTTGTGCACGTGAATCAGACATTGAGCTGGTAGGCAACTTCTATTTTTCTTCAAACTTATGCAAGTGGAAGGAAGTTTCCTTTAACCGTATATTTTCTACAGGATAAGCAGAACTGGTCTTGGTCCAACACCGAAAAAAAGCGTTCCCAATCAGCATCCACACTTGAACACAGAGACCGTCAAAAAATCCATCAGCCCGCTCAGAGCTTGTCAGCCATTCAGAGCCTGAGTTTCCAGAACCTGCGATTTCGGCATGAAACACCGTATCGTCGTCATCAATACCATCATTGAAGGCAAAATTTACAGAAGATGACAAAAATAAGCTTGAAAAGATGGTCAAGGATTTAAATCCTGGTCCTTGGAAGCTACCAAGAAAGCTGCCCAAAAGGATGAGGAAGTCCAATCGGTGGAAGAGAAGATGGCCGAATTTAGATCTAAGTGCACCAATTTGGAGTAAGTATGGGTTGTGAAAGACACATTTTATCGTCCTTACTAAAAACTTCTGTAGCCCTGTATATTCGCTCGATAATCGCCGCCGTACTTTATTAGAAAAAAAAGCATATTGATATACCACTTCACCACAAGCAAATAAAGGGTATCTTTTAACAACCCTTTACCATTTGTTCTTCCCCATTCCCATTGGCTACGGATCCACCCGCAATAAGCGACTCGACAATTGAGTGCGTCCAAACTTGGCTCTTTGGTGACAGCAGCCGGGCCATCCCGTTTCGACAACAAATCGGGGACATGGTTGTTTCTACCAGGTTTGTACTGGATATCCGGATCATAGAACTCTATTTCGGCTATCCATAGCGTCAGCGGTGGCGTTAATTTTGAAATACTTCAGTGGGTGATGGTCCGAGTACAAGATATATTGTCGCCCTTTGATAAATCAACGCCACGTTCGCAAGGCGTGAAAGATACCGAGCATTTCTCTTTCTTGTGCGGGATATGACCGTTCTGTAGATGACAGCTTCTTGGATTTGAAAGCCAATGGATGAGGGAGACCATCGGATCCTTCTTGGAAAAGCACAGCACCAACACCAAATCAGATGCGTCAGTCTTGTCCGGATTTGGCGGCATCGTATCACGCGTTCTGGACTTGATTTTTGTCAAAAGCCTGCTGGCACTCAACGACCATGCAATCGCCCTTTTCTTCGCTCCTTTGCCCTTTATCAAAATCCGTCAAAGGCGCCGCCATCCTCAAACAAGAAACAAAAGTCACAATAACTCTCTTTATACCCTCACTACAATCATCGTTGCTTTTCACTATGTACATTATTTATTCTATGTTATTCATATGCAAAAATCTCTTTTACTTCAGTCACTCAAAATACCGTTCATCATCTCATCGACACACATATAGCCTTAACACCTCCCTCGCATACCCTTCATTTTAAATCAAAGTTATCAATAAATTTCTTCAATTTTTTACCGTACTAGTGATTGATATATTGAGTTATACTGTAACGACCTTTGATTAGCAAATATCACAGATATGTGGACGTTTAATGATAGGTACATGTACGACTTTAACAAATACATACAGTGCTTACGAATTGTGTGAATTTACGGTGCACAAGATATCGTACGCTTCAGGATGATGACTAATTCCGCAGTTCTGCTACTTTATAATTTGTGAGAAAGACAGCTTATCAGGCAGAGAAAAACAATAACGCATGAATGGCGATCACCATAAACGAAGGGCACACAGCTTATTGGTTAAGGTCAGTCCGTTGGACGAGCTTGCTTCTTGCCGGGCTTGCTGATCATATCCTGTTATTACCTAGGGGCTAGTATTCCCAATATACTGGCATATTTGAGCTACCAAGCAGCAGTGTGCTTATATCAAATGACCAATGTCTGCACCTCATACCTAAAGTCAAGCATAAACACAATTGCGTGAGCCTCCTCTCCTCTATTCATGTGGTATGTAGAAATAATTCCAGCATTTTTTAAACTCCCGTATACTCGCATACTCCATGTGCGTATACTGTGTGCCCGACCTTTTTTTTTTAGTTCGCCCTTTTTTTATTACTATTCTTTTTACGGTTCTCTGACGCAAAAAGTAAGCAACAGCCCTCACTTCCCGGTCCATTCTTCGTTAGCCGATGTCCTCTCTTGTTGAAACATCGAACAAGGAGGAATTACCTCCTGTACCTGGTGTTCAAAACATTCCTGGTATAAATGTAGCAAAAGAAAGATTGATTGACACAACCAACACAGAGAAGGACCCTGCTGACTTTTTTTCCCTGCTTTCTATACACTGTGTATCTCTTTTTCTTTCTGTATTCAACCTAAACTGTTGCAACACAACCTTTTTTCTTACCACGGGGACGCACAAAAAAAAAGGCCACGATTCGAACACTCAATCGCTCTCCCAGAGGATATGGAACGGTTTCGGTCTAATGACCTATATGCATCGCAAAGTGGAATCAACATCCAACCCGAATTCGACATCCAACAATAGCAGCAGCAGTAGCAGCAGCAACAGCAAAACCGACACTGTTTCTATTCGTCATCAGAAGGATACCATTACGCAAAATCGAGAAGACTTACAAGAAGAGCTCATCTCCATGCTGACTGCGAGTGAAGAAGCTCTCGAAGATAAAGATACCATAACCAAGATTGATAATTTAATTGCGCTTATGAAGGCACATAAACTGTCAGACGACCAGATCCCTCCACCACCACCTCCAACGTCCTCCAACGCCAACAATGCCGTCACCAATGCAGCAACAGCGATAGCAGCGGCGTCATCATCATCTTGCTCCTCGTCCTCGTCCTCATCCTCTTCCTCCTCGTTCGATTTTAACTTTGATAACAAGTCGGGATATGCAGTTGATGGACCATTGCAGATACCCCTCGACAGTAGTGCAGCAATTGGAGCTAAACCATCAACAGGGGCAGGAACAACATCAACAAGCGACAATAGCAGCAAACCATCCGTTATTCCCATGACTGATTTCCATTTTTCTTTTACCACCTCTTTGTCATCCACCACATCTCCTTCTTCTTCGTCTTCTTCATCCACTCGCACCAGAACATATTCTCGTCGTCACAGTAGTAGGAATGGATTACGACGCAGCTCTGGCAACCAAGCACTCTATACACAACAGCAAGAGCCGCATCCGTTGTCCCAGGCAACAACGTATCCCGACGCAACATCATCATCTTCATTGAGGCGTGGCGGCGACGTCGATGACGATGACGACGATTATGAAAGCGATATTGATGTAATCGAGGCACAAATCCTGCGCGCAGCCAGCCCGTCCAAGCAAATGCATTTGTTAAATCGGAAGATTTTGCCTCTTCCAAAGCCACGATGGATACGGAAAGCTGGTATGCAGCAACAGCAACCGCAGCAACAGGAAAAGGCGCCGTCGTCGTCCGAAGCAGTAACAGCACAAACATCACAAACATCACCGCCAACGTCTCTAGCAACAGTGGCTGCTGATACCAGTACTGCGGCTACTGGTGCATCCACGAAATATACAGAGACACCTATTCCGTCATCGCCCTCCTCATCATCAGCAGCAGCAACCGTGACGCCGTACATGTGGCCATTTTCACCTCCTATCCTTGAATCCTCATCACGGAATTATGCATCTACTGCGTTTTCGCTCGGTGGACTCGGAGGAACAGGAGATTGTGACTCGGCTTTTGTCTCGACGAATTTGAAAGAGATATTGTTGGAACATGAGATACACAACGTTGGAGATCCAGTGGATGCAAGCTATAGGGAAAATACGAAAAAGATCAAACGATGTGGTAATAGGTTTACACTGACGAACGATTCAGAGGAACGTATCAAAGGGGGATTAAGGCGGAAGGATCGTCGATGGAAAAGCAATGCTGTCGAAGACCGCAAGGGCAAATCAGAACCGCCTCCCCCGCCACCGGCTCATCCAGCACCACCATCATCATCATCATCACCATCTGGGCCGCAATTTCCTGCAAGCTCCTTTGATTTCACAATGGGTGCACAGACAAGAGAAAATCTCAAGCAATTGCCGAAACTAGAGGATTTACCACGATCCTCTGTCGGGCCATCACTGGGATTATCCAACGTCTTGCATCGTACGCTATCACAAAAGGTAGACAGGATGGAAGCGTTGGTCAATCGTGCGAGTCTCGCCAAATCATCACCTCAACAACAACCTCCTTCTCATCTTAACAACAACAAACATGCCGCCACACCCATCACTTCAACCCGACCATCACCGCCACCACCTCCGCCACCATTACCAGCACCGCTGTCGAATGCTGACAAGAAAAAAACGTCGATCAAGGAGAGCAACCGTCAGCGGACAAAAAATGACAAGGTTTCCAACAAATCCAAATCCACAGCATCATCCAAGCGAGGGAAAAAATCGCAGAAAAAGAAGAAGGCGTCCACAACCACTGCAAGAACAACCACATCAGCAGCAGCAGCAGCAGCAGCGGAAAATGAGCAGGGCTCAGGAACAAACAGTAACAACAACAGCAGGATATATAACAAAAATACATCAGACGCTGCGATCGTTCGTAGCACAGACCCGGATGAATGGATTTGTGTGTTTTGTCAATACGAGATCTTCAGTCATGGATTGGAAACGGCACGACGTAAAGGTGGCTATTATCGACGGAAAAGAGAACGGCAACGCAGGCTGAGAGAGATGGAAGCACGACGTGCAGGCGAATGCATCTCGGGACCGCCAAGTGATGTGGATGAAGGGGGCATCATGGATGATCCACTACAACAGCATATCGTACCGCCACCTGTAACCACATCAGCCACTGCCAGTAGTAGTAATAGTAGTAGTAATAATGGGAGTGGGCTGACAAGTGCTGCTACCTCTAACAGTGGCCCGCCTCTGGGACTTGTGGACCATAGGCGCAGAGGACGAGAAGACCATCGGGCAGCATAGCAGCAGTACTTTGTTATTGTACGCACACTATTACCACTACCACTACCATATATCTCATACGTATACTCTCTCTCTCTCTCTCTCTCTCTCCCAATCCAGCATATTCGCTTATTCTATATTGTTATGTTGTACCATATTTCTTTTCTGCTGATCTTCTCTTGCGCCCCCCTCCGAAGTTGTTTAACATGTTTTAAGAACAAATACCAAAGCTTCTTTCCTGCTCTTTCGAGTATTTGACTCCGATGTATTATTTTCGAGTAGCACAAGGTTGTCTGTGTTTGGACACAAAGACGCATAGGGTTCTAGTAAAAAAAAGACTTGATTCGCTCTCTTTCTCTTCTTCCCCTCTTTCAGCACTTTTTGCTACTTATCAAACGAACACACTATGGTCCGTCTCGTATCGCTCCCTGCTGCTATTGCTACTCTTCTTTACGCTGCTGTTACTGCTTCGGCAGCACAGACCTCTGATGATGGCCAATTCAACATCTCGTCTCCTAACAACGGTGGTATCTTTGTTGCTGGTCAAATCTTGCCATTGACTTATAGCATGGACGATGCCACCTCTTGTAATGTCTCCCTCCATATTCTCGCAATGACCCGATACGATGATATCTCCTCCCTCTAAACTCACGCCTTTGATCTATTAATGTATAGCTTCCTTTGGCTTGAACATCTACCTTACATCCTCTACTGTTGCCAATGCTACCACCACGGCCATTGCTGCTCCTGCGGATGTTTCCAAGGATGCTTCTTCGGCTTTAACCGAGGATGGTAAAACCATCTATCAGCACATCATCAATTACGCCCTTCCTGCCTCGACTGCTGCTGGCTCCTACAGTGTAAGGCTATCATCATACATTGGGTAGAAAATTCCTGGTTAAATGGGGCACAATTGTTACCATTCTAACCCCCATTGCTCGGGGTATGTTATGGCATTAGGTTATTTTTGAAGCTACCAACACCAATGTAAACACGACCATTCCTGTCACTATCCGTGCTGCTGCCGCTGCTTCTTCTTCTTCCTCATCACTGGCTTCTTCAAGCGCTACCGGCTCGTCGTCCAGCTCCCCGTCATCGAGCAGTGATAATAATGGAAGCAGCGCTGGCCATCTTGCGGTTTCCGCCGGTTTCCTTGGCGCTGTAATTGCTTCGGTCGCTGCTGTTTTCTAAACAGAACAAGATTTAAAAAACTCAGTTACAATAGATAAAAAAGCATTTCCCATTATGGGGTTCAAGAAGTATTTTTAGCCCATGCTTTCCATTTCCCATTTCGGTTCTTGCACCCTGCCTCAGATTCTTTTTTGTCTTTCACATCCTGCCTTTCTTTACGTATTTGGAAAAAAAAAACACCATGTATGTGATAGTCTGCTTTCTCTGTTTTACCACCAAATAATAACGTTGACTACTACAAGATGACTAAATATCATGTCTACGCAGATTAAATATGTTGTTTAGTTCGTTTATAGAGTAAGAGGACAGGAACTCTTGTATTCAAATTAATTGACAATAAAGCGGTATGTATCTCACAATCTCCCTACTTCTGTGGATGCAGGGTTCTTCCAAACGTATCTAGTGTAGGACAAACTTCACAAAATGCATTATGTACCTTTTCAGGTTAGAGCCGGTTACAGCTTGGTAGCAACAAGCAAATTAACCTTTTTGAACCAAAACCGCATCCGGTTATTTCACGTAGTGACAGATCAGTAACGAGATGATTTAAGGGAAGTTGTAGCTAATGCTTTGTCTTTGAGGTGAACACCGGTTGAGCCAAAGATAGATTTTCACGCAAGGAAAGAGAAACAAGACACATTCCAAGGAAGTTAAAAAACAGGAACAAAGCCTTACTGTGTGTTGTCATCATAGTCAGCAATATATAGTGTCGTGTCTCTACAATCGCTGAGATGAATTTTTGTTCGCTTTCGAAAGGACGCGCGACCTGACCTCAGCGGAGAGAGAAAATCAAAACGAGGAACAAACACGAAATTAAAAAAAAACCATGCTTGGATGAGACAGCGTGCACACGTTTTTAATAATCACGACGACGCGTTACACACCACGGTCTGATCGGTTGAACCACCCATTTTGTTTTGTTTGTTTGTAGAGTAACGCGACACAGAAACAATGATAACGATATAACGGCGAGGAATGCAATCCAGCGCACTTGATGGAGTCCCAAAAAAAACTTTATTTCGCTTCAGATCCAGAAGCGCTGTTGCCTGATGATTCGGGAGTAGAACGGCCGAAATTAAAGTACTGTGGTGAACAGCGCACAAAGCATTATTAGACAAGTCCCACTCTTCTTTTACCAGTTGAACATGTTAGAGAAAGTTTTAAAAAGTACCTTTTCACGGAAAAGATAGTGGCCAGGTCGTTTTGGATCCTCTATTTGTTCTGATGACGCTTCTAACGACGATGATGATGGTGATGAATTTGTTGCTGGTGTCGTATCTGGCTGCTGTTGTGGTTCTGCCTGCTCTTTGGGTATACAGGACGACTCTGTATCGTGTGCGGTGATGCGTTGCGACGCATCAAATTCGCGCACTTTTTCCATAGTGATCAATCGTCGAGCCCATTGGCCAAAGTTCTGTTCGCTGTTAGAGATCAATGTCATGCTAGGGTGTTGTGGGATATCGGCGCTGGAGTATCTAGTAATTGTAGGATAGAATGGGTTTATTTGACCGTGTCCTCCGTCACGTGTATACATAGATCATACTCGTTATCCTCGGTAAACTAACTTACTCGTCAACTACGGTGGGAAGCCAGTAGACCAAACGGCCACCTACACGCAAATGCTCGGCTGCGAAATTCAACAGATCTGCCAAGACTTCGGACATTTCGTATGGCTTTGTAGGTGGATAATAATCTTCGCGTCTAGATAATACCAAAATGTGTTGCTCTTTTTCTTAGCACTTGACCATCACCGTCCATTCCTCCTGGCTCTTTAATATTTACGTGTGCATCGGCACGCCTTCATAAGTTCTCATTTGCAATGTCTTTTTCGAATCCTCTTTTCGTCCTAATCGTTTTGCTCCAGCACGAACACCATATGGCGCTATATATATAAACAGCGACCATGTTAGTCGTTACTCTATGACGCACAGAAAATGAGCAAGAAACTTACGATCAGTAACAATAGCATCAAGCCAAGCTTTGGTACGCCATGGATGGTGACACACGTCAAACACTAAAGAATCCAATACTCTTCCTTGCAGACTATACTGCTCGATATTGGATCTCACGCTGCTCTTTCCTTTCCCGCGGATTTGTCGACCGTCAATATCCGATCCCAACGTAAATGCACCAAAATGTGCGCATGTGAACAAGAAACTGCCAGTGCCGACGAATGGATCATAGATCAATTTGCCGGAACCTGCTTGTGCTTGATTGGCCATGACGAGTGAGAGTTCTGCATCCATGGATGTGGTGCCTAGATACTTTCGCTTTTTCAGGTTGTACTTTTGAACAACGTCTCGACTACCCGAGGCCACCTAGTGATTACAAATAATGGGCCACAGTATAAAGTTTCTGATCAGCCTCTCTCTAACTCTTATGCATTACTCCCGATGATTACACGGACATCCCTTACCAATCGTCCCATATAGATCCATTCTCGTGCAGGCTCTACTCCCAATTGCGGTAGCGCAGAGCCATAATCCTCCAAAACACAGAATCGATTATCTGGATTGCTCATCGAAATAGGACCATTGAAACCGAGGTATGAGAATGAGTTGATAATCTCGCGTTGTTGTGGAACAGATATGGTCGAATTAAATGCGGATACACTAAATTTGAATGAAGCTTCATCGTATTTTCCTTTCTGTGTACATGCCAAACAGATGCATTTTAGTTTTTTCTCTTTCTCTCTCTCTCTCCGTCGTATGTATCATCAATGGCGTTTTTGTAAATAACACTCCTCTTACTAACCCAAAGTTCGGGCTGATCCTTGACTTGTGCATGAATCTCATCATACGAGTTGGCTTCAGCCCAGAGTTCATAAATTTTTCTGCACATGCCAACATACTTTTTTAGTTTTTCCGGTTGACCTTACTGTTTCGAATAGTCCTTACTTGATCAATATAGCACGCTTCACCAGTTTTTGGGCTTCCTGTTCTGAGTCCAGTGTCACTTTGAAATAAGGGTTCTATTATCATTTCCAAAAACCCAAATGTATTCCATTGCGTGAGTTTTTCATTTAAAACCGGCTCTATTTTCTGAAAGTGTGTGTGTTGCTTTTTCTTACGTCGAGTCTATAGGTGCTTTCGTCGCATTCTAAATGAACCTTCTCCAGCTTCGCCAAAGAAAATAATTCAGGCAGCCGAAATTCTTCGTGGAACTATAAAAATAAAGGTTTTGTACAGCACAAAAGTCAGTGTATGTCTTTTTCTTTACTATGCAGGACAGTATAGGGACAATGAGCGAACCTGAGCAAAATGGATCAAGTAAGTTGGCATGGCTGTCGGAAAAGAAAGAGACAGGTGAACTTTTCGCTCACGGGCTTTTCTCGGTCATTTTGTTGTGGCTGATTCGTGCGGCATTGACAACTTTTTGGCGCTGTTTCATCTCCACCGTAATATTTGGCGCGGGGCTCAACTATTGAAGCGTCCCCAGACGTATGAAAAGGACTTCAGGGTTTAGAATCCTGCACCGGACGGATAAGAATTCCGCACCTTCGCCAGTCAACGTTAGATCTATCAAATAAAGCACCACGTTGTGTGGCCCAGTGCGCAACTAAGCCCGGTCTTGGGTCCGGATAATATAACGATGGCACCTTAACTTTTATGTTGTAGGCTCAACAACAGCGACCCCGCACATTTTCTTATGCTGCATGTAGAGCAAGTATGTGTTATTCATTACTGCGATACAAACAGGAACCATACTTACGATATTATGTATGATAACGAACACTGCACATGATATACTCTAGACAATCAGGATACATCATAATCACACTCAATGTCTTCAGCGTTTACGACGAGATGGTAGGCGGTCAACTCTCCATTTTTTTAACCTCATTGTCGTCAGCAGCATACACACTGTCTTCGACGGAAAATGGAGCGTGACGACCAGCTGCAACGTCTACATTGCCCAACAACGAAAGAGAGGATGCATCAATAATTACATTCATATCCATATCGTCACCCAAAGGCAACGGTGGCAGTGAGTATGGATGTTCTTAGCCAAAACTGGCCTCAATAGAAGCTACAATAGCATCCAACTTACGTAACACTCACTGAACCTTGGAGAATATACTGAAAAAAAAAGCATCATTGTGTAAAAGTTTATCTTCAACTTCACTTAGACTCACGCAGCTGGTGTTAGTCTCGCATTCTACCATAAGTCATTTGAAAGCAGAAGCTTGTGCATGCACACGTGGTGATTGGCTTGGATGAACGGACTCAGCTTAGGTAAACAGCTTGGGTGAACGCTTTCGGTGAACGATTTGAGTGAACGGTTTGAGTGAACGATTTGAGTGAACGGTTTGAGTGAACGGTTTGAGTGAACGATTTGAGTGAACGGTCTGAGTAAACGGTTTGAGTGAACGGTTTGAGTGAACGATTTGAGTGAACGGTCTGAGTGAACGGTTTGGGTGAACGATTTGAGTGAACGGTCTGAGTGAACGATTTGAGTGAACGGTTTGGGTGAACGATTTGAGTGAACGGTGTGGGTGAACGGTGTGTGCGAACGATTGGGTGAACGGTTTGAGTGAACGGTGTGGGTGAACGGTTTGAGTGAACGGTTTGAGTGAACGGTCTGAGTAAACGGTTTGAGTGAACGGTTTGAGTGAACGATTTGAGTGAACGATTTGAGTGATTGGGTGAACGGCTTGAGTGAACGGTTTGAGTGAACGGTTTGAGTGAACGATTTGAGTGAACGATTTGAGTGAACGGTTTGAGTGAACGATTTGAGTGAACGATTTGAGTGAACGGTGTGGGTGAACGATTTGAGTGAACGGTGTGGGTGGGCGGACCCAGCGGCGTTCACTCAAACCGTTCACCCGAATCGTTCACTCAGACCGTTCACTCAAACCGTTCACTCAAATCGTTCACTCAAACCGTTCACTCAAATCGTTCACTCAAATCGTTCACTCAAACCGTTCACTCAAACCGTTTACTCAGACCGTTCACTCAAACCGTTCACTCAAGCCGTTCACTCAAATCGTTCACTCAAACCGTTTACTCAGACCGTTCACTCGAACCGTTCACTCAAACCGTTCACCCACACCGTTCACTCAAACCGTTCACTCAAACCGTTCACCCAATCGTTCACCCACACCGTTCACTCAAACCGTTCACCCAATCGTTCACCCAAACCGTTCACTCAAACCGTTCACTCAAATCGTTCACTCAAACCGTTCACTCAAATCGTTCACTCAAACCGTTCACTCAAATCGTTCACTCAAACCGTTCACTCAGACCGTTCACTCAAATCGTTCACTCAAACCGTTCACTCAGACCGTTCACTCAAACCGTTCACTCAAATCGTTCACTCAAATCGTTCACTCAAACCGTTCACTCAAACCGTTCACTCAAACCGTTTACTCAGACCGTTCACTCAAATCGTTCACTCAAATCGTTCACTCAAACCGTTCACTCAAACCGTTCACTCAAACCGTTCACTCAAACCGTTCACTCAAACCGTTCACCTATGTCGTTCAGAGCAAAGAAGGAGTTACAACGAGCGGATGAGCTGGCGATAGCTCAAGGTCGCATTAAGCCGTCCATACTAGCTCAGGCACTCAGGGTTTCTAATGTTGGTCAATGCAGACGGATCCGTGGATGAGTATGATTTGGTGGACGCCATCCGCAAATCAAAATTGGAGGTGCAACTTCAACAGTAATTGTTTTACTCGCCGATCTGTGTCAAACATTTGCCGAGGCGATTGGCGCTAAGGGTTCAAGGCGGAAGAAGCCAGGCGAAAAGGAAGGGACTGCACAGCTAACCATACGAACCAAGGACAAGCCAAAAATTCGAGACCTACAAGCGGTGTACTTTGCAGTTGGCGAAACAGTGATGGAAGCCATGCTGGACAGTGGATCGACCTGTAGTATTATGCCGTTTTGGATTGCAGTGGAGGCGGGCCAGTTCAAGCCAACAAATGAAGGATTCAGCTATGGTGGACTGTCTGAACAGAAGGTGGTCGGCATCTTGCATGACATGGTGATGACATTTACGGACGAGCTTGATGTGACGCACTCGTTCTTAGTGGCGGAAACCCCAGAGACACCGTTCCTGTTGGGGCAAGATTTTATCGTTGGTGCGTATGCGATACCAGATCCAGTCCAAGAGTATCTCGAGTTGAGGCAAATCGAAGATGATGGAAATGGGAGGTCGATCTATATCCCAACCCACCCAGGAAGTGGAGCAAGGCTTGACGAAAACGCGGCGACTATGGCGATGTAATGGCGAATTCGAGGGTCAAAACGAGTGATACGACAGCACTGGCGACGTTAACGAAAGACCTCAAGCTGGGGCAAACGAGATTGCTATCATCACCGTCGAGGAGAACTAAGGACTAACAATATCCAAGACTGCTTGCATTTTAGAGCCCGTGGCCTCACCATTTAAGAGGGGCGTGGTGGTTATGCCCTCAGTCCGTCATCAAGACCTTCAAGACACCACCTTGGTCATGAGTATGGGATCCAGCGCGTCAAGCTGAAGGCGACGCGATCGGAATAATCAAGGATACAAACAAGGATCTCAACGAGTTTGCAGGAAAGGGCAAAATCGATCCGGCAGATGTTGATCAAGCACTGGACATCATTGCAGAAATACTACGTTGTCCAGATCAGAGCCCACTACCATCGCACATGAATGGGCCTACATTCATGCCAACAAAGAAGATGTCAAGACCAGCCGCGCAAAAGGGGACACAAAACGAAAGCGTGGTGCACAAAGTCGATATGATCACGACACCAAAACCTGAAGTGGATACAAAAGGGTTCGATATAAATCCAGAGCTTACAGACGCTCAACAATGGCAAATGCTAGAAGTCATACAAAGGCACGAAAGTCTTTTTGTCACCAAACTTGAAGAAGTGAATAAAATCAATGCTCAACTGACAAGATCCGTCTCAAATCAGATGCTGAACCTCATCGTACAGCACCCTATCCGAGGGTACATGATGCAAGCAGCTGACTGAGACCTATTCGAGAAGACTGCTGGAATAGGGATTTATTGATCCCAGTGAAAGCCCTTGGGAAGCAGGCACTGTATTGGTACCAGGTGACCCGTCCAAGCGTGCAAAGAGACATAGGCGAAAAGTCACTGCAAGGAATGATATACGTATCAAAGTGCGGACGAAGCAAGGGCAAGGAAGGGTGTTCGCATTGAATAGAATCAAGGACCGAGACGAATCCGATGAAGAACATGATCGTGATGAACAGCAGAAAGAAGCGCTATATACGCAAGGATATATGTATCAAGGTGCTCCAGTGCACCAGGCGAAAACTGATGAAGGGAAATCCGTGTCTTACACAACAGAGGCGCCGCAAAACCAGGAGAACAATCTATTTAGGCCGTGTGTCAACTATATTTCACTGACTCGTGCCACTATTGGAGACAGCTATGCTTTACCGAACATAAACCACATCTTCACACTACTTGGGGAGGTGAAGTATTTTAGTCTATTCGATGCAAAGTGCGGCTACTGGCAGTTGGAGTTGGCGCCGGAATCACGAGAGCTTACCGCGTTTACGACGATTCATGGGTTATACCAATGGCGAGTGTTGGCTATGGGCCTACGAGGAGCACCATCCTTTTGGCAAAGAACAGTGGATAAAGCATTTGCCGAGGTCATGTACGACTATTTTATCATATATATCGATGACGGTCTGACGTTCTCTAGTACATTTGACGACCATATCAGTCACCTAGATCGAGTATTATCCCTTGCCGATAAGCTTGAAATGTCGATTGCTAAACAGAAGTGCAAGATCGGGTACAAGAAACTGCCGTTGCTAGGCCATATTGTCAGAGAGGAAGGCTTCGAAATGAGTCCAAAAAAGGTCGAGCGAATTAAGAGCTGGTCGGTTCCGGAAAACACAATTGAAGTACGATCGTTTTATGGATTACTGCAGCACTACCGTCGATATGTCCGAAATTTTAGTAGTGAGACCCAACCTGTATGCGAGCTGCTAAAGAAACATGCCCGTTTCCACTGGGTATTAAAGGAACAAGCCTGTTTTGAAAAGTGTAAGGAACTGCTGTCAACCGAACCGACCCTGGCTCACCCAGACTTCTCAAGACCTTTCATTCTATACACAGACACGTCAAAATATGCGATCTCAGGGATATTGACCCAGGCAACAGCCGAGGACGAAAAGGAGCTGCACCCAATTACTACGGCAGTAGGATGATGATACAATCCGAGAAGCAAATGTCAGTATGATATATCAGCGGGCCCCTAAGGATCATTGATCAAGGAAGCTGGTTGAACAAAAGGATGCGATATCAGCATTACAAGAATGCCATGACCATTGGTTGGCAGGACATCAAGGGGTGAAACGAACGTTTGACAAGCTTGCAGCATAGTACTATTGGCCGGACTACTTTGAAGCAATGCCCAAGTACGTCTTATCCTGCCCTGTATGCCAGCAATTCGGTCCAACTTGCCCACCAGTGCCCTTAGAACCATACAAAGCACCAGAAAAAGGACCGTTCGCCGAGATTATGCTCGATTTCATGTCGCTACCGGGCCCAAACGAAACAAGGAAACTCATTTGTGATCATAGGTGTTGACATATTCAGTGGCTGGCCTGAGGCAACAGCAACACCAAATCAAACATCAGAAACCGTGGTATGGTTCATTTAGGGTGTGTCGGTGGGGTGTACCAAACCATGTTATCTCCGATGGTGGGTCCCACTTCTGCTCCGGGATTACGACGTCCCTGCTGTCAAACCATGGGATCAAGATCAAAGTTGGGCCGCCACAACATTCGCAGCGACAAGGCAAAGTTGAGCGAGCGATCCGTAGTAACAAGTCTATCCTATCAAAGTTGTATCGCAGTATGTTGGATCGTGGGATGCCTGGCTACCAACTGCCCTATTCATCCTCAGGACAACAAACAGTCAACCTATGGTTACCTCGCCATTTTTCATTATTCATGGTCGTCATCCACGAACCTGCGATGCCTGGATCGAATGGGATAATCACTAGGTCACGGTTGATATCAAACCACAAATCTGGGAACGGATAAACGAAGCAGTAGAGCACCAGTAATATACCATACCGAGTCCAGCTGCCCGCCATGAAAAGTACAGGAAGGAGATGAAAAGCAAATATGATCGACAAGCTGTCGACGCTAGGATCGTATTTGGCGCCTCGATGGCTTGGACCATATTATATCCATGAAGTTTTAGGACGATATGTGTACCGACTCCGAGATAGCGATTTTATAGTACCAATCCAAGTTCATGCAGACCAGCCGAAGCTTTACGCTGCAAGACCAAAACTGAACCCTGGTTATCAAGCACTTTAGTGGCCAAAAATCCAAGCTCATCACGACGCAAAGATTGTTGTGGGGTACTTTGTTGAGATGGCTTCCACTACGGGGCGTTATGTACACCATCTGGAGGGGTATTGTGGTATCAAAGGAAAAAGCAGTGATCCTTCGCGCCACACAAGAAACAAACTAGGTAGCAGGGTGGATAAAGTCGCACAGAAAAACTAGATGTAGCAGACACCGTTAAATAAAAATTTAGAGCTGTATTTTAATCAGTCGATGCACTCGAGCATAAGAATACGGTTGTGTTTGAAAAACTTTCTTTCCCGTGACTTGTCTGGAAGGGCCCTACGTGTGAGTACTCCCTGTAGTTGTAGTGTTCTCTCAGTGTTATTGTGTGTTCTCCTTAAAATTTTCGTATTGATTGTTAGTAATATTGCTATTAGTGTATGTATTTTGTCTTGTTGTTCCCTGTATTCCTGTATTTCTGTAACTCAAGTCTCCTTGAGGGTTGCTTTGAGTATCAATCCATAACAATTAATTTAGCAATAAATTGCTAATTAATTTTAGTTAAGGATTTCACTGTCAAGCTAAGCTGCATCCAGGTGTTCCTTGCTTAGAGGAGGGATTTGCTCACTACCATTCCGCCACTATAAGTTTTGAATTAAACATAAAAGAACATTATAGTTTAAACAGTTTAAACATGTTTATACAAAACATAAACATATTATATGGATTAAAAAAAGTTTAAACAATTATCTTAAACGTTTCAAAAATAAAAAAATTATAATATAATTTTTTATTTTTTCTTAAATATGTTTAAGCAGTTATATATATTTAATTAATAAAACCTTTTTTAAACTACTATTAAGGATTGATACCCTTTATATCGTATTTTTCTATCGACAGTACTCAGGTAATGTTTTGTTGTTATTTTGCTCTATCCCTTATTTACGGCTCACATGGCAGGGCTCTTTCTCTCAGGTCTTGTCGTCGCTTCTGATTTCTGGACTTCATTACAATGGCAGCTATAAAGTATATATGCCTAACTTTTTTATGAATCCTGAGAACTATCATTGCCACAACTTGATATATGGGCTTTGAGGTGCAAACTATCTACTATCTACACTAGCAAAGCAATATCTCCTTCGCCTGAGAGGCCACCTTTTCATTTGCGCTTCTCAATGATGACACCATATCATCTGCCAGCACCATCAGTTTCTTGTTAAGATCTGCATTTCCCAGTATCTTAATCGTATTGGTTTCTGCAAATAGGGACAACAAGTCAATCATGTGCTTTCCAATTGGCTTGTTGCAGCTTTCAACTATGCACTGAACAACGTCCTTGCTGAGTTTTGCACTGTTGGGATCCCGGATGACTTGAAAGGGGGACATCTAACTCCAATTAGATATTAGATAATACTATTGGCTGTAAGAAATCTATTGGCTGTAAAAATCCAAATTATACAAAAAATTGAATTTTGTGTATATATGGTGCATTTCGTCTGTAATCGCCAAAACTTTATTTTGTTTCAATTTTCAATTTTAAAATTCCGCTTCTTTATTTGGTAATACATGTAATAGTGCTTCTAATCATTCTGACCAACGCGACGATGGGAAGTTAATATTCTGGAAGAGTATCTTGTAACAATTTCTAATGCTTCTTGTGTTGGTTTCTCTTGAGAGTAAGCATCAATAAAACGCCAAGCTCTGTTATAAAACCGGCGAATGAGAACAGGCTCTTGGTCAGCTGGAGATAATCCATCGAGGATTGTTGGTAGATTTGCCTTCAGGCCTTTAAAAGTGTAGTCGCACTTTATTCTCGCTTCCCTTTTGGCAGCACCCCAGTATCGTTCAATCCAGTTACATTCGCAGTGAAATTTTGGATAGAGTTCGAAGATATGACCTGCTTCTTCTACTGCTTCATGAAGTGCTGTCTTTTGCTGCTGAAAATCAGGTTGCACTGCGAGGAAGTGTCTAGCGCAACATCTTCTATCCATCTCGGGCTCCATTTTGCAATCCATACGCCAAGATTTTTCGGGTCGGTATGGATCCTCATCGCACCAAAGTCCACGCTCCTTCAATATCTTTTCCACGCCTTTAAACTGACAGACCCATTGCTTGGTAGCAGTTTTAATTTCTACTCCTCGTTTTCGCTTGATGACATTTTCTTGGAACTTTTCGTACATATCCTGCTCAACTTCTTTACTAAGTTTCTTGCAAATGTATGCGCCAGAACGAAATTCGTGATTTGCCGGATCGTGTTTGTCATCAATTACACCGCAGCGTTTAGGAGTTTTACACATGTTTTGAGCAAGCAATGCATTGCGAGGATACGCATTATGATTGCTGCTTTGGTCAAAAATAAAAACAGCTTGAGCGTCTGGATGTATCAGCTCAAATAAAGGGATAGCATCCTCTGTAAGCTGTTTGATCATATCCTTGCTTGTCCAATAGCCCTCTCTGTTGCTTCCAGCATAG